CTCTGTAGGCGAACTGCAGGGGGTCCAGGAGTGGGTCCGTTATGGCTTTGAGGTGTACTTTAGTCGTGAGAATGTGTGTCAGGGTTTGGCCTCTTTACTGCAATAAAGGGAACTCTTAAAGCTACAGCGTACTGCCGTTGGGCCCTTTCATGTTTAGGATGAAAAAACATGACTTTCTGCAAAAGTTGTGAGCCAGGCTCTTATCGCCCAGCATCAGTGCTCAACGTCACTGGAGACCTTTGTGGCTGAATGCAAGCAAATCCCTGCAGACGGGTCCTAAACGCTGGTGGAAAGCCACAGAAGAGTGGAGGCTAGTACAGCAAATACCCACAGTTAGGGAATGAGATATAATTATATAGGTGAAATTAGTTTTCATATGTTTTTAGTCAGTTTTAAGTAGAAATGTTGCTCTCTTCATGACACTGACAGCACTGAAAGCTTTGGACAGCTACTAATGCTCAAAGAATTCATTGCAATAATTATTTTTTTTTCATTTACCAAACATTTAATGGCATTTTGCCATGTTTGAACATTATTAAGCAGACAGCTCACTGAACGGACATGAAGTTAAATGTAGTGAGTGGTTCGCACCACTCACTACATTTAACTTCATAGCTCCCTCTCACTGCACATTTAGATGTTCTGACCAACCGTTATATCCAGTGCATTTCCATCCCAAATTCTCTTTCTATACTTTCCCAGAAAGAAAGCACACACATAAAATGCAGCCATTTTGCACTTTATTATTTAATATCAAATCTGTGGATTTAAGACCAACAGTTTTTAAATCCTCTGAAATCTGCTGCACTTGCAACATTAAACTGATAAATATCTACCACTGATGCAAGCTTATCAACCACAACAGGTGTTGTGCTTCTCTAAGCAAAATATTTCCATATTACTCGGCAACATGACACTATAAAATCAGAGTGAAATATGACCTTGAAGGCTGCGTGGTGGTAAACTGTGCGCCTTCAAACTGACAGGTGATATCATACCTTCATTTGTTTGTTTGCTTTTGTTTTCAAACCACAAATGATTTTCTGTATTTGCCCGTTACCTTGATAACAATTCATTGACAGTAAAAAGGAAACATCCCCAACAGAGGTATGTTCGTGTGTAAAGTCAGATAAAAAGATACATTAATTGCATCTTTCTATGCTAGTGTCTCATCAGATAGCCGTCTGAAACCTCTTTCAACTTGACCATGTAGGAAGGACAGATACGGTGGAAAGCATGTCATTTAACTCAACACACGAGACTGATCAATGACTCTTCAGTTTAGTTAATTGAACTGGACCGAAGGACTTAAGATGAAAGGCATGATAAAATGATTAAATACTGACAATGATCTACGCCCCATTTAGTGGTATAAATAGGATATAGATGAACCTAGCTCCATCACAAACCTCCTTTTACTGCTCGCGTAGTGACAATTGCTTTCACAGTCATGCTCATTGTTACAGCTAGAAAAGCACACAAGGACAATAGCAAATACTGGCAAATGTGACAGCAGCTCTGCTCTTATAAGCAATGACTAAGTCTCTTGAGTCAGCCTCTGATCATTGACAGGGACAAACAGACAGAAATATAGGCATATTTATTCTTTGTATCACACAGACCTGATTACTTCAACGCTCTTCCTATAATAAACATGTGACAACAGTATTTGATCATGTTAAATTAATCCTCAAATGTCAATATAAATCATCTAGAATTAAAATTCAACATAAGAAAATTATTTTTGCAATACAAAGGTTTATACAAAAGAGCTACTGTTAGAAATGTACGCAAAGGTCGAGCCTCAAATCAACACACACGTTACACCAAAACTGTGTGAAAGTTGGAGTCTGAAAGGCGGAGAGGCTGATCCGTCAGTCGGAGAAGTCGCCGGCTAAAAGTTAACTCAAACAATGTGGAGGGACCTGAAAGAAACCAGGTGTTTAAAGTGATGTCAGAACATGAAAGCTGCATGTCATTACTGTGTGTGTGTGTGTGTGTGTGTGAATAAATGAGAGTAGTGCTACAAACGCAGCCGTTTTTACCATTTACCTTTTGTCTAAAATAACATTTAATGCTATAAACTAAATTGGGCACACATATGGATTTAAAAACAATGTAGTTTGCATACTATGTGGTATTGTGTAGTAACAGAAAAGCTTTATTTCATTTGTCATTCTGTGGTCAACATAAGAACACATTGTAACACCGAACAGCCTGAGAGTTAGAAACGAGAACTCGAGTCGAGTCTTCAGCTTTGGCAAAACTAACAAACAAAACCTAAACACGAATCCACCTTAACAAAGAACATGGACACCGGATATGGGCACACTCAAAACACTTTGGTGACAAAAACAGATGGGTAGCAACAATCACTTTGCCAAAGTCTTTGGCATTTTTCACAGTAAATTCTTTGTGGAATTCAAAATGAAAACATAACAGGCAAGTAAACAGAGATCAGCAGTAGACGTCAAATCTCTCAGTAAAGACAGTATTTAAAGGGTATACAGCTTTGGAAAACACTTAAATTCTTTAAAAAAAAATCATGTTTGGGACTTGAAGAAGTGATTAATGCATTCATACAGTAAACTTCCACAACAGCACTGTCCCTCTATGTCCGCTGGCTCCTTTTCTTCTCTGGGCAAACGTACGACAAAAGCATATCTATCATGTTCTTGACGATGGCTGGAGGTGGATGGAGGGCGTGAGGAAAGTGGTGCGCTAAACTCATCTGCCAGGCGTCCACCAGCAGGACGTTGAGGCCCTTGAACATGGACCTGAGCACCTCGTCCAGCTGCAGGGAGTACCAGTCGCTGTTGTACAGGCTCACCTCCTGGTCCAGGGCTTGGAGGTTGGCCGAGCGGATCACAACAACGGTCCCTGGTGCTCGGTCCAGAAGTCGCACCAGCGCCCGCCTGATGTGACGGAGCCGCCGTATGTACACCTCCACGGGAAAGGTGCTGAAGTGGGCCCAAATGCTGAGGACCACGACGGTGTTGGGACCCCCGGAGAGGCCGTCCAGCTCGTTTGAAATGTACCGCAACTCGCTGGACATGACGGTGGAGAAGCGGATGGGCGGGCCGTGGCAGCGGTACTTTAAGAGAATATTGTGGGTGCTGTCCACCGCCATGAAAGGCCCGACGTTTTTAGGACTGTGCAGGTTGAACTCTTTTAGTCCTGGGGGAGGTGGAATAAATGGAGGTTACGGTGGGAGAGACACGAGGCGACATTTAAAAATAAAAAGAGGAGACGCAGAGACGCACTCACCTGGTACAAAAGCAATGAGGTACTCAAACCACTGCCTGACGGTAGAGTCTCCGTACATGTTGATCACTTTGTTCGTCAAACAATGAGTGATGGCAGATGATTCATTGAACTGGCGCATTGTAACGCCACTTAACGGCCTCCATGAGTCCTCGTAGTAATATCCAGATGGTTCTAGCTTAACAGGTTCAGGTTTTATACTGCTGCTTTCTACCTCTACTTTATCTGATACAAAGCGAGAAATGTTGCAGACAAAGTTAATTAAATGGGATGAATCACAGCATGCACACAGTGCGACAACACACAAACTGCAACTCTGCAGGTATACTGTACCTTTCCTGGGAGGCAGCACGTTGATCCTGTCGGGGCCTGAAGCGTGTATGCGAACTTTTATGTTTACACCGCTGAGATCAAAGAAACAGAGTTGATCAGGTTAAAACTGGAGATGTTACTGTCAGCAGCTAACCAGCCAATCCACCCAGCTCCTACTGAGCACGTCAATCATTAAAAACAGGTCACGGTTGAATTCATTTGGGACAGCGTGTGTGGGATTGACTCAAAATGAGCCGCAGTAATTCTGGCAGTATGGTTGTCCATCCAGACTGAAATATTGCAACAATATTTACCACAAGTTAACCGATTGCTGGAAACATTTTGCTCAAACATGCATGAGCTCTACAGGATGCATCCTGATGACTGATCCTCTCATTTCTCCTCGAGTGCCCACGTGAGGTTCACATTTGTGGTTGAAACATCTCAACCACTGAACCACAACCACTGTTGGATGGATATAGTAAGCTGCAGTGTTCATAATAATACAGAATGAATATAAGGGTTACCCAGTGCTACACTGTGGCTCCTTTCTGTGTTTATACTTCAGAGGTCTAAAATACAGAGAACAATCTATATCAAGCTTTGGCTAAACAGGCAGTACTTGTTAGTCAAATGAATGTATTGTTGGTTTTAGTCTATATATAACAACACGATATATTTCCTTCGTCCTACTTGAGTACAAACCTCTGGAAGAGCAATGCTTCTTTGTTGGTGATGAGGTGTTTCAGATAGCCTCCTTTGGCGTGGTTGATTCTGGTGTCGCAGCTGAGCACCTTAGGCTTGTAGCAGTACCAGGGTTCCCCTGTGTATGGGTCTGTGTAGTTGCACAGGGGATGCTGATCAGGGGGCAGGCACATGTTGCACACAGTCGTTTCAGACAGGAAGCCCAAGCGAAACAGGCTCTTAAAAAACACACGGTCGGGCCGCTCTTCTCTCAGCCGTCGCAGCACGGCGACGGCTTCACTTGAGTGCACCAGAGTAACCTCAATCTGTGCAGACCCGACCCAGAGGAGCGGGAACAGAGCGGAGTAAAATCCATTTCTGTGGTCCAGCACCTTACCTGCTACACCCGCTCCAAGTTCGGGGGAGTGCAGTCTGGCCAAAAGGAAATCCCCACCGTAGCGCTTGGGACGACCCTGAAAGTCATGCATTTGGACGAGGGCCTCCAGCTGGTCGCCCACATGCCATTCTCTTCCTTCCTTGGTGGGAAGGATGGCGAACAGGCTGTGAATGGGGTCGCTTGTCTGGCGCAGGGTGGTAGGTGTGGAGCGAGGCGGAGGCCCGGGCCAGGAGATAGAGTCCAACAGGTAGCGCTCCTCCAGCTCATCTTCAGGGGAGGGTTTCTGGCCCAGATGGGCGCAGAAGGTGCGGTTGTGATAAAAAGTAGGCAGATTCACTTGGATGAAGGACGACTGGATCCTGCTCTGGAGCTGGTACAGGGCTGAAATAGTGTGGCAGTTCCAGTTCTGAGGAGAAAGGGAGGAGGGGTTAATCATGTGCTGCAGGAGATGTGACCGCGAACCCATGACTGCCAGATAAAGACACATGAAGGGGATCAGTTACCCTACACACCGATTAAAACCTCTGTGTAACCAACTTCTCTCCTCACCTCCACAGTGTGGATGTTGCGCAGCAGGAAGATGAGACCAGACAGTGCTAGGACGATGAAGAAGAGGGTATATTTGGAGAGATTTCGGCACATGGTGACCTCCTGTTTCCCATTATCAGGCCCTGATGATGGCATCATTTCATCCTCAGCCTGATGCAGACTAATGAACGCTGTGAACGACAAGGATGAACAAACAGAAAACATGCTCCATTCAGGGTTATAAAGGCATCCATTGTTAAGAACAGGTGTAGAACAGGTGATTGTATTGATTTCTCCACTTTACCAGAGTCAGAAACTAGTAAACGCCCTCGGACAGAGCTGTTTGTGAGTATTGGGTGTAGTCTGAAGTCAGACAGCCCAGCTCTGTTGGTCTTAAGGGGGGTAGGGGCACTGACTTTTAAACCCCCCCTCATGTATAGACTCTAAACCCCGCTCTGTTTTTAAGTTACTCCTAGCAATGGCGGGGCTGACTGTAAACATCCCAACGGTTCAGGAGAATCTTCCATCTTCAGACGTTGAACATAACGGTCAGGTTCTTGTTTCTAACGGTCCGCTGCTTCTATCACATGAACGGCTGCAATGACGCAAGAGCGAGCAACAAAGCAACGGACGGACGGATGATAATATTCAATGAAAATGGTGGAAACACATTTACTCGTATCTTTTAAACAAGCGCAGCCCTGTTAGCTAACGGTGACATCGGTGGTGGCAGGCGTTTGAGCTATATGCTACACTACTTACACATTACGACGACAGATTAGCATGATGTCGGACCGTTAGGCAGCCGGAGGAGGGTGGCGGTTGGCCGGGGAGAAGGAGGCAGCAGCGGGCGGTTGGGATGCACACTAGAGACGGCTTGTAGATGAAACAGACCTTCCGGTAATCATGATGGGTGAAATTGTACCGGTGCTGGGGGTGGTGTGTGTGTATAAGTCTACTGCGTCCTCTGGTGGTCAATAATTTAAACGTTAACCGTATAAAAGGAGGCTTTAACAGCCTGGAGCCTCGGTGTAATGCCTCTAACGGACGGCGTTTCTCGACATGGAGAACAATTACATTTATAACCATTAAATTATTAATGTTTCGGTATGAGAGCGTTAAACAGTGAGGTAACCACAGCTGCTGCCAATGGTACTAATGGCGGGCTGACTCACTGTAAAGCCTCTGATACACTAAATGGGATCGAACCTTAATTAAAGTCATATGGCTGCTGTGAAAATGGTATAATTTGTCCATTATTAAGTTACTGTAATCTAATCTTTTGAGCAATATACCTTCTTTACATGAGGCGGGTTGACTTCTATAGGATGAAAGGCACAGGTGTAATCAATATCCTAAAGATAGATGGCTCACTCTCCTTACTGATATAGAAAACAGGTGTCTATTTCTCCCCTCTTTAGTTAGAGGGACAACAATCACAAAAGATATGAGATGTGTGTCTCTTGCGCGAGCTTTACTCGAATGAGAAAAGAGCGAAGAAATTCTCCAGGTGTGTGGGCGGAGACTAAAGCAATCGTATCCCAGAGTGCAGGAACTGAACCAGCCTGTAGATCACAGATTAAGATTAACACTCTTAATAAACATTCACACTTTCCTTTACCCACAACCAGTCTAAAGAGTATCAACTAACTTGTCACATGTCCACTGCTAGTGAGCCTAATTAAGACATCACTTGTTTGTTAAAGAATTCTTTGACAATCTGAGAAATAATTAAATGACTTGATAATCAGAACAACTGTTAGCTGTAGCCATGTTTCCTACACTATTTCAACATAATATGAATACAAATAACAATCATTGGAAAACAATAATTGCAGATTTATTAGCAGTTTTTACGAAGATAAAGATGCTACAACATTTTCAGGTGATCTAAAGTTGATAAAAACAGTTCCACTATATTAACACTGTATGTGATAACACAGTAGATAGTATGCTTGTTGTATAGTGTTGTATGTATAGTGTATATCTGTGGTTTGTGCACTACGATTAACATATCAACTCCTAACTGATTAACTGTAGTTTATTTCCATGTGCTTAATGTATTATTGGATATTGATAAAGAGAATAGGTTGTACCAGGTCTTCAGTAGAGGTAGCAACCTACTCGCTGTATTTAATATAAAATAATTGCTTTCGAGTGACTAATACCTTCTGAAGCTACATCACAATCGTTGTCTTTACACAGAGGAAAGTTCCCATTAAATAACAAAACAGATTAAAAGAGTGAAGTATAAAAAAGTGAGTTACATTCACAGTAAGGTGTATTCAAGCCTGCTGGAGTTCAGTCTTACAAGTGAAACTAAGTGCACTGTAATTTGAGATCAGTAATCATGCCTAGAGGCTCTGGAGGGAGCAGTGCATCTCACTCTTATGATACGTGCCATACACACTCAGTAGTTCTGTACATGGGTCTATTACGTGTAAACTCTCAGACAGAGCCGGGAGTGGTTTCCTCCGTTCTTTCTGTTTGGTTGTCTGCCACCTTCTGCGGGGGGGAGTTGGACTGTGCGGTTTTGCTGGGTGATACTGGCGAGGAGGGCTGTGGTGTTTGTGTTCTATCGCTGATCACCTCCTCAGCCTCCTCCTCCCTCTGCTGTACAGAGGAGAGGTACTGCTCCAGCAGGCTGCAGTCTGCGCTGTCCACGCCATCGATAGCACCGGCGAAGTCGCTACGAACAGGACTCAATGCTCGCACCGTCTTCAGAGAGTCTGCCGTCCCGCTGCTCAGGAAGCTGTCCTCCTGCGCTGCCAGCTGATCGCTTGTTGACTGGAAGCCAGAGTCTGGGAAAGAGACGTCTGTGCTGGGTGGGTTCGTCGTGCTGGATGCAACCGGCGGGGCAGCCTCACATAATCTGGGAGCTGAGATCTGAGCCGGGGTGGCAGCCTGAGTAACGCAGGCCAGCTGCTGCTCCACAGACTGCTTCCACTGCTGCATCGACTGGAGCTACAAGGAGAACACAGGGAACGTGATAAACTAATAAAGCAGCTGAATCATGTTGGAGAGCCAGTAACAGACAATTTGAGCCGTGTGTGCCAAGAACAATTTAAAAAATTGTCCAGACAATAATCGTTCACAGAGGATGAATCCTAATGACTTTTCCTCTAGCGCCACCACCAGGTTGGCATTTGTTATTTTGAGTGAATTATTTTTATTTTTTTTGTATTGCTGTGAAATTTAGTACATTTGTGTCCTCCTCAGGATGAAACTGCAATTAACTATGATCCCCTAACATTTCCTCTAGTCTCCAGGTCAAAATCTTAATTTGTCTAATAATTTGTGACCAAATACGTGCAAAGATTATACATGCTAAATACCAGCATGTTAATATTGTCACTGTGGACATATTTCCATGTTAGCATTAGCATTTAACCAAGTACAGCCTCACAGTGTGGCTGTAGGAAAAAGGAGACCAATATTATACCACACAAATAATGAGTCATGGTGAATGTGTGTACTGAGTAACTTTAATCACTGACCTCTTTCCACAGAAACTTCACAGCTTCCTCCTGAACCAGCCTTTGTAACCTCTCTTCTTCATACTGCTGCTGCACCCTGCAAACCAATTCCATTTGACCTATTAGTACACCAGTAAATACTGGAGAATGTGTATTTAAATAGCACAACCATATGTAGTATTAGTTTAAGTACACCTATACTCATCCTATCACAAGTAAAACAGAAAACAAACAGTACTGACGGTCAGTTACCTGTCCAACTTTTCAGACAGGAAGAGGATGTGTTCTTGCATCCTGCGCAGACGGATTTCACAGCGCACCTCTTTGGCCATTGGGTGATGACACCGAGCGTGCTGTCCCCTCCACCACGACTGTATTGTAGTCGCCGCCTTGTCTGCTTCCATCAAACAGGATTTACTGCCACACATACCGACATCTTGCTGCATGGGGGTTTCTTTCATCTCTGCTTTACCAAAGTCGGCAGGTGCTTCTAGATCATTTGGCGGTGCGCTAACTCGGACCTCCAGTGATCCAGCTGTTGTGGCTGCACCAGAAATAACTTCCTCTTCAAGACTTCTCTGTTGCTTATCCACCGGGGGAACATGACGTGTCTTGTTTGTGTTGTGCTTTTTGGGCTGCGATGGACGCTTTGGAGCCAGGGAGTCGGGTTCAAATGTCTCCGTCTCGTCCTCGCTGTCCGAGTGGGTCGTCTGTGGCTCCAGGTCACATGTGAAGGGGAGAAAGGTGGACTCCGAGGAAAGCATGCTGCTGTTGAGTTTGTCTTCATCTGTCTGCACATCCTCCAAATAGATATGCTCTTCTCCGTGCCTTGGGCTGCGAACTCCCGGCAATGATGGGTGGGAGGAATCACAGCTCACCCAGGTGTTACACTGCAGCATTGGCTCTGCACAAAAGTAGCCGTTCAAATTATTAAAAAGAAAGAAATGCATCACAACTACTTGTAAAAAGAAAATAACAAATGCATAATGTTCAACAGAACTGCGCCACAGAGTGACAAAGCAGCCTTCTTACCAGTCTCCTGGGCTGATGGAGCAGCGGCTGGTGCAGGTGCACTGATTTTATTCACCTCTTTGGCTCCACCTGGTGGAACTGCATGTGAAGGACTGTGGCTCTCTACATCTAGTTGAGTTGGGCGAGGAGGGCTGGGACTGTCTCCTTGCGTCTCCTCTAACAGCTGCCTTTGGTGAAACCTGAGGGAGAAAAATGGCGGTTCAAACATGACAAACATGTATTTTTTATAAAGAAGGATGTGTGGCGGGTTTATCGTGGCCTTGAAGTGAGCAATGGAGGATAGTCGTTTTTAAATTCAGATTTATACCTCTGCTTACTGAGGATCTTCTCCAGTTTGGCATCTTCTGCCGTCTCCAGGGCTGGTGACGACGTCAGAGGACAAACAGTGGCCAGGTACTGAACCAGCTGAACATGCTGACCTGGTCGGTATGAACGCCCCTTTCCCTGACTGTAGAGCCACTCTGCTTTGAGACTGTAATCGAGACAATTATACACTTTAAATAAAGATATTCAAACATTTAAATAATAATACTACACGAATCTGAACCAGCAAACTGTAACAGCATAGGAACGTACGCACCCTTCTTTCTGTGACACTACATAGCCGTCCAAGACCTTCAGGCTCAGGCACCAACTCATGATGTATGGCCGATAATCAAAACCCGGCAGTGAAGGGGTCGCCATAACACAGGGGTTGCTCATAATGGACAGCTGCTCCAGCTCATGGAGAGGTGCCAGGTATGACACCTATGGAATAATCAGAAGAAAGTCCGTCTATAAGAATCAGCCTCTATATAACTTATATTGTGATCAGTGCGCCTGTATCAAGTAAGGGAAAAGATAATTACTTCATTAAGATCTCTTATCTCATTTTCTGCCAGGGAGAGGATGGATAAATGGGCAGGTAGGTGAACAGGAACAGTGCGGAGTGTTGTAATGCTGTTTCCATGGACTAAAAGCGTCTGCAAAAAGTGACAGAGCATTAATAAAAGAAACTCTACCATGTCTCTACATTATCATCAATATTATATTTTCTGTTTAGCCTCAGAGGCTCCAGCACTCACCTTTAATGCCACCAGTTTAGTCAGATCCCCAATGGTAGATATGTTATTGTCAGATAGGTCCAGGTGTTGAAGGGAAACACAGTTGTTAAGTTGCTCAATGACCTGCGTTAAGAGAGTGTACAGCCGGTTAAACATGCTAAATATTAACACATGGGCTAAAACTAAAGGGCTTCATCTAGGCAATGACATTTTTGTACATAAAAGACAAATGATATATCAGTTAAGTATGTGAGAATCTCTCTTCTCCTCACCTTAATGTTGTTCCCAGACAGATTCAGCCATTCAAGGTGTGGCAGATCTCGCAGCCCCTCGATGTATCCAATACTGTTATTGGGAAGATTGAGGACTCTCAACTCTGTTAGCCGAGAGACGCCCATCATTCTCACCAGACGGTTACTGGCTACAGATAGCTAAAGAGGAAAAGACAAAGGTTTATCAAAAGGCATTAAAAAAAGCACCTGGTGACTATAACATAGGCCTGTAAAGGGTTCAAAAGGGTTTAACTACCTGCTGAAGGCCTGGGCTCCTTTCCAGATGGTCCAGTTTCATTATGTGGTTACGGTCCAGGATGAGAGTGTGAGTGTCCTCGGTGCAGCTGAAACTAGGATCCAGCTTTTGCATCCCCCGGGCTGAGAGGTCCACCACAGGTCCTTGTGGGAGTAAAACACAGTAAGGATTAAACAGCAACTGTCATTTGGCTCATCACCATGGCGACGTAACACACAAGATCTTAAAGCAGCCAAACATACAAACAGTAACACACCATCCATAACCTCCACTAGTTTTAATGATCGAGGTCAGTTAGCTGTGATCAGGTTTATATTGTTATTGTATATTGTTTTATATTGTATAAAGTGGGGTCACTGTGGGGGTTTACCGGACTAATCGATTAGGCTGTAGTAGTAGTCCATATCTGCATCTGCACCCCGTTTTGTAAAGTATGTAGCTTCTTGTTTGACCCTTCGTGACATCCAAGTGCAGGACAGTGAAATGATGAACAAGGACAGAAAGAAATCAATATGCTGCCACATTTATACTCCACTAACGTTACCGCGGCAGTTTGCAGAACATTAACCTTACCACAACACAAAATGAGCTGGTCTGATATCTAGGTTTTGCTCAACTTTGCAGGGAGACACTTCGGACTACTGACACGGGATGTTTAGATGTTTTAATCTTATTTAACGGCAGTACACTGGGCTGATACATGCTAGCTAACGTTAGCTAGTAACTAATAAACACACTCGCAGCGGCTCCCGTTAAACTACAAATGAACCTCCGCTTTCTGTCTGACCAAATAAACCATCGACACACTTACCAGCATTTGTATCAAACTGTAAATCTGATACACCCATCCTGTCGCCTCAGACAACAGCAGCGTTAGCTATCAAGTCTTAGCTGCAGACTGTACTGTGAAAGACAAGACGCTTCTGCCGCTTGTCAAACTGAAGAAGAAGGGGGTTCTGGGAAATGTAGTTCACACAAACAGTCCGGCTCATTACGAAGTGTTTGAAAAGACTACAATTCCTGTCGTTTCTTACCGCCAGTTGTAGTCAAGAAAGAAAGAAGCTAACTAATAGTGTTAATGACAGAAACGGCCTAAAAGTGATGTTAGCTATTACATTGATTTATTATTTCATCCCTTGTTTGATTCAACTCTTTATTATTTTATTATTCAGACAAAAATATTGCTGCTTGGCCGCTTTCTGATACACTTGCTAGGCAACCGTCAGGTTGTGACGTCAACCTCGAGTTGATTGGCCAAAGTATTAATTTAATTAAAATATTTTAACAAAATCAAAATGATTTATATATGTATGTTAGGCGTAAAGCATTAACCCTAACTAAGACTGACTGAAAAAATATTCACTGTTTATTTGTTCATAAATATCGACTTGTAACCTCCTAATACAGTTTCCGCATCCGTCATCTTTCTTTCCGGTTTTGTGCCCTCTCGTAGCCATCATGAAGTGAGTGTACGGAATACTATCAAATTCCATCTTAACACTTTAATAAACATTATAACGATGTTATCCACATAAACAGTAAATATGTACCTTTTTCTTATCGTGATGCCTTAAATTTGTCGTTTTCAGGGTCGAGTTGTGCAGTTTCAGCGGGTATAAAATATACCCCGGCCATGGCCGCCGATACGCCAGGATAGACGGAAAGGTAACCATTGCACCCGACACCGGGTTCCAGCTGCTTTGTCTCTTAATACTCTGTGGAATACAGTTTAGCGGACTATATGTTGGTGTTTATTGTCTTGTTAGTAACATATAAACAGAGTTATAAGCTGTAGGCCCGGTCGGCGCCACTGAATCATGGGAAACCTGCTAACGTTAGCCGCTAGCACACACTGATAGCCTCACAGTTTAGCTTCTTGTTAATAACTACAACAAGATCATGTTTACACATATTTACATCAATACACCGCTTCTGTGGCACACACTGTGCTCTGGTGTTATACTTCCACAAACACTGTAGTGCTTGGCAATGCGGACTGAACCAAATGTGTTTAAATGAAGTAGCTTGATGTCTAACTTGTGTCAGAAGAGCAGAGATGTCTTCATGGGTCACTAAAACAGTGTGATGAAAACATGGCATCACTTTATTTTACAATACACCCACATAAAAATATTACTTGTATTAATATGTATTTAGATATCCCAGTTCACATGGCTGTCTGAAATCGCTCCTTCAATATAATGTAATACAGTTTATTCTTCTTTTTTTATGTCCAAACAATATTGTAAATGGCATCTACACAACTTTCTCCCGTAATACAATTAGTTGCATGTTATAGATGCAAAAAATACAGTAATGCAACACAACACCTGTTGCACTACAATGATCCATGTGCATGTATCTCAATTGTGTTGAAAGATTGGACTAAACTTAAGTGTCAATAATAATAATAATAAGTTATTATATATTGTAGGCATTAGGAATGATTCTGGACGTAATATAACATTTTGTTGAATTTTCTGTCCCCATTAGGTGTTTCAGTTTCTGAACGCCAAGTGTGAGTCTGCCTTCCTGGCCAAGAGGAACCCCAGACAGATCAACTGGACCGTGCTGTACAGACGCAAGCACAAGAAGGGCCAGTCTGTAAGTGACGGCTGGATGTCTCTTTACAATATGTGTGGATTGTAATGTAACTTGTTACGGCTGTTATATGGCAAAACTATTGATATTGTTTTTAACTAGTCTGTTGCATACGTTGTTAGTTTTGGGAATCGTTTGAATTTTATCAATTCTGCTGAATCTGATTCCTGGTTTCAATTCCAATATTGTTAAACTTTAAACAAGGGCTCAAATACTTGGACATTTTTGTGTAATGCTTTGTGTACCTCCCCTCAGTGGGGTCAGTGGTTATATTTATACCAATGTTGAAGAACCGAGAATTTGAAGAATCGTATGGGTCCCTGATCTTTGATTCTAAGTTGAACCCCAGTATCTTATTTGTTGTGTGACTTTTGTGTAGAAGTGCTGCTAATCTGCCTCATAGTGGAAATAGCTTTGTCTTTCCAAACCCACTGATGGATCAGTTTAAACTATGAAACAAGTCTGCACAGCTCTCCTCTCATTTACACACGCTGGTTTGGCTGCGGGTGGACGGTGTGCACGGTACACGTCTGTGTTATGTGCTGTTGTCCTGCTGTGTTTTGCAGTGTGGGCAGCAGCGCTCACTCCACACCTGCAGCCATAGAACAACAGGAGGTCATAGTACTGGTCCTTGACGTCTGTATAGACATCTTACCATTGGCCAGCCTCCAAATTCTCCTACATGCTACAGTGCTGATCACATACAGTGAACAATATGAGCAGTTGGGTTCCATCACGGTAAAATGTGTACATGTTGATGTGACGTACTGGGCTGTAATTCAACGTCTGTCTCCTCATGGTTTTAACAGGAAGAGGTGGCAAAGAAGCGTACTCGCCGCGCAGTGAAGTTCCAGAGGGCCATCACTGGGGCCTCCCTGGCTGAGATCATGGCCAAGAGGAACCAGAAGCCCGAGGTCCGCAAGGCCCAGAGGGAGCAGGCCATCAGGTAACGACACCTTGGTTGATCTTAAATCGGGCTGATTTAATTAAGACGTTTAGGCGGTGTAGCTTTAGCATCAGCAGCTTCATCAGAGAGATTTTGCACTTCTGATTGTGGACTTTAAGTGTTCGTTGGCCTCCTCAGTAGTAACCGGTCACTGCTAGCCTCACAAAAGTCTTATCTTAATCTGTTTTACTAAATCTTATTTAGAGAAACAAAACATGGAATGAGTTCAGTCTCAACCAGTCTGATGTGTTTCAAAACATGGAAATGTCATCAACCACAATTTAAAATGGGTGAATAAAATAGTTAAAAATCTGTGTAGTTTACCTCTTTTGTTTTTTTAAATAAGTTTTTAAGTTTAAAAAAAAAAAAAGAGATAACATTTACATTTCTCATCTAGCCTCTTTATTTAGCCTTTACTGTTTGGGCATATCTGCATAATCTGACAGGGTTAATGGAATATCCCACTATTATTGACAGTAACATTGTTCAATAATGAGCTTTTAAACTGAACAAAGATAATTTCTGCACCTTATTTTGGACTGTTGAGAAAACTCAAATGTACCCGTCTCATAAATATCTTCATTTGTATGAAGCCATTCTGAGTAATGTTGTAAATCAATGAGCAGAGCTGTCCCTCTGGATGATTTTGTCACAGTGAAAGACGACAGGATAATGTATCACTCACTCCTGCTTTGTTTGGCTGACTGTCTCTTTGTTCTCTCAGAGCTGCCAAGGAGGCCAAGAAGGCGAAGCAGGCAGCCAAGAAGCCCGCTGCTCCAAGTGCAAAGGTAAGCTCTCAGGTTGTGCAGAAGTGTTTGATTTCCCTTCACCAGCATTAAATCTGGGACGCTAGATTGTATACATCTTATGAATGTTATGTTAACAGTATTTATGCCATTTTAACTACGTTTTGCCCGTAAACACAAACAATAAGCTGTGAAACGTAGTGCTGCTACAGGAGTTTGGCTTTCAACTACTTGCTCCTCAATATTCTTTAGATGAATTATTTTCATTGAGTTTTAAACTGTATAACATGGTGATCTGCAACAGTCCTGTACTTAATGCACTTCTCCTCCTGTAGTCCTCCACCAAGACTGCACAGAAACCCAAGATCGCTAAGCCCATGAAGATCAGCGCACCCCGCGTCGGTGGAAAACGCTAAATCTGACTCAGTGTTTTTGGTTGTTAATAAAATTTTGTGGTTAACCATCATTTGTGAGTTGTGATTTCATATTTTTGAAAATTGCGTCAAAGCTAATATACTGTATTTTTTATTTCTTTTAAATATCTTTTTGAGTTCAATACACTTTGAGGGAAAATAACTGCTTAAAGACTTACTATAACTTTTTTTTTTTTTTTTAAACTTGTGTCACTTATTTGAAGTCGTAAGCACAAATTGAGTGAGATGTTTTGGGTACAGCTGGGTGATTGTAGAGTTGGGATTTGTTGCTCTGTAGTGCAGTGAAAGCAGAAGGAGATGAAGTTTCAGGTTGTCCTGTGTTTGTGTGTGTTGCCCACATGCAAACGAACACTTTCAAAAGGGAGTTTTACTTTGTGTTTAGTATCAATTAGAGACCAAAATAACACACAGGGTTTCTAATACAAACTCCACATCTTCAGACACTGCCTTCATTATAATTGTATTTATACAAGATGACTAGTACTAGTAACCATGACTAGTAAACTGGTGTTCACATAGTAAAGTGTCCCTTTAACCTTCAACATGAGCAGCTTCAGTCACTTTGTATTTGTAAACTATGAGATGTCCATACTTTAAATCAGTTGGTGTTAAATGTGATTTATTAGCATTACATATCCATTACATAGCCACAGCCATAATGATCAACCTTCAAAGTGCCATTTGTTCAAACAGTCAGCAGATCAAGAAAAGTGAGGACACCAATTATTGCTAAATTATTCAGGGGGTTAATGTGTAATAACTACAGTGGGAACATGTCAGAGAAAGCTCTATTCTTACACAGAAAAAATATAAAACACCTTCCTAGAACAGATTTTGATAATGAAGAGCCGTACGTCCGTCAGTACCACCGACTGGCTGTAGCAACAATCAATAAAAAGCTGCACAGGTTAAATATGTGTCAATCTGTGTAAGTATCCATGACAAAAGAATCAGGAAATAACAGCGTCTTTCTGTACAGTTTTGACTAAAAGATAATTTAATCAAGTGATTAATAAATTAGGATTTGTTCGCACACACATTAAAAGACTTAAAGCCATTAAGATGGAAGGAATTGTTACATGGTAATCAATGATTTAATGATCACTGAGGTACAGATGCCATGACTGTAACCAAATTATAAATAAGTAAATGAAAAGATAAAAAGGTGATGACATCCTTATTAAATTTCATTTGGAAACATTCCTTAAACTACGTTCAACACATATCCAAGAGTTACATTTTTCTGGGGGAAATTATTGCATGAGGTACTGATTGCTACACCTGAAAAACAACGATGGAAAAAGCAAAACCTCCCAACCAGTACACAATATATAAAGCATGAACATGTACAATCAAACAGCTTGTTGAACAAGTAGTACTTGTGCGTTGATGACCGATTCTTGAGTGTGTGTTGACTACAGTTAAAAAAATTTATTTGTTTTTCGTTTACACCCTGAGGAAATTTGAAACTTAAGGGAAAGTGCACATTTCCAACAGGGCCAACAGGCTTAATGTGGTAGAATAACGGTTATGGCATGGATGTTATGGAGACATCGTGGGATGATGTGGAGATGATGAGAAGGGGCAGGTTTGTGCCCAGAGTGTAGTCTCCCTTTCAGCCCACTGCAGTGGAGCGTTGGCAACAGAAAAGCACTCAGGACTCCGCAACCTCCGCAACCTCTGCAACCTCCTTAGCCTGGGCTTTCATATCCTGCTTGTGCCTATTAGAGAAGAGAATATGAAGGAAAAAAATACATGATTAAGATTAAAATGTTAACAAAATGTATTTTATTTGCATGTTCTGCCTGATAACAGTAATAAGGAGACACAAGGTGAGCTGCATCAACATTTGAATCACTCCTGCATTAAGCTTAACCAGCAGCTGTGCGTGCTATTGACATTATTTGGCCCCAAGTTTGATCATATCACAGGTTAAATACAGGTAGAGTATCAACACTTGCAGTACTTGTGAGTATCTAGAAGCACAGAGGTGTACTGAACAAAAAAAGATTCATATTATTGATGTTATTTTAATTGTTTCTTTCTCACAATCACAAACACCAACTGGGCTACTGTGGAGCAACAGACCTTTTTCACAGCAGCCATTTAGAGCAAACACAGGTGTCTAAAGTCTAACCAACCTGCTCATCAGGAGCCGTTGGAGTCCGTTCTACACAGAATCCATCACCGCACAATGCCTGCAAGTTAGGTTTGTGTCTGACTTGATGCCGACGCGCTCTGACGACTTGCAAACGTAACGATAACCTTGCGGCACCGAGGCGGCCGCGGTTTTTAGAACCAGGTGCTGGAGTTGCTCTCCACCGGCTGCAAGGCCCAGAGCATGATGGGAAACGTTGTCACCTGATCAAACAGCTGATTGGCTCTTAGTTTTGACGTAAAAACACCCAGTTTTCCAAATTTTCTGTGTGATTTTAACATCTAACACTAGATTGTAGCTGTTTTATGTCTCATGTCGTGCAAAGAAGGTTTAATCTTAAACATATCGAGTGGTTGATAATAATAATACATTTTACTTCTATATCAGAACGTGGTCTAAAAACAACAGGCAGCCTAAAGATGATCTAACAGGATGTAAACATTTCTGTGACTTTCTGTATACTCTGTGTAAGGCTGCTGGAAACTGTCCAGCTTGACTACAGCCTTTTGTCACCTCCTCCTCCTCCTCCTCCTCCTGCTGCTGCCTGATCTCGTCCACTTTATAGGCGAAGAACAGTTCATCTCAAACGAGCCCATTGTCTTCCTCAAGGACACTTGTGGATTAAACCAGGAACCTTCTGACTACTGGACGACTGCTCTGCCTCCTGAACCATGCCGCCCCATGCATCAAGTGTGGGTTCAGTGTTCTGTGTGTTGGTATTTTTCTCACATTGGTCACACTTGCCTACTACACGCATCGCATGAATGTGCACATAAGTGCTATATGTCATTTAGTGAGTTTTACTCTTTACGGCCAATGTTCCCAGTGAATTTCAGTCAATTATTGACATTGGAAACGAAGCACACATGAAAACGACTGTATGTTATACATTTACAAACAACTCTTAACTGTATGAGCTGCAATGCACTTAGTCAAACATAAACTCGCTGCCGTGACTTCTACTCATCAGTGAATACATGAGCAGAAATCCACTGTGTACACATCTTGCATTATTATAATTGATCCCTGAGGTTGCTCTGACAGATAATGAGGTCGAAGTAACACACCTCCAGATCCTGTAGAGCTGGGAGGCTCCTGCACTGCCGACAAAGAAGTTGACACAAAACAGGTTCCAGTTCTTTGGGATTATGACCAACGAGTATCTGGACCAGATCAGGCCTGGAAATAGACAACAGTTAAAGTGAAGGTTAAGCACACTAATGGTAAACCAGCTGTTGCTCGTGAGAACAGAGTCTGTGTTTTGGCAAAAGAGTGAAAGATAAGATTTGTTTGAAGAAACATATTGCAAAAGCAGAAACATCAGACAACCTTTAACACAGATTGGTCAAATCACTGGACTGATGAGCTAGTTTGAAGTGCACACCAATAAATCAAGGGC